GGCAGGTAGGTAGGGAGGTAGGCAGGAAAGTAGATCGGTAGTAAGGTGAGGGCAGGGCAGGGTAGGTAGGTCAGGTAGGTAGATAGATGGATAGACTGATTCATAGCTTAATTCTTCCATCATCACATACCGAGAGGCCGAAAGCTTGACAGCTTTATGAATAAATAGCTAGATAGACAGAGGTAGCTAGATAGCTAGGCGGCCAGGTGGCTGGTGGGCCCTCGGTGGCAATGCCGCTGGAAAACATGCAAAGTTCTCTCCTAATTGTCTTGCCATGGCACAAGCTCCTCCTTCTTCTGAATTGTCAAGCTCCTTTGAGCAATCGCACTAAACATCTCAGATCTCGGATTCCGGAAATAGACTCAGATGCCGTCAGGATGCTTGAACTTCTTGTGGTGGTCTAGGCCATCTGTTATTTTGAAATCTGTGTCATCGAACAATGAATCCCAATCCTCAGAAAGCAGCTGACATCTTCTACAACTTCTGATCGCATGACGCAATCACACACCATAAGCTTGGCAGTGTTTAGCATTCTTTAGCCATGGTTCCCGAAGTCCTTGCGCGAAGGCTCTGACCCCTTCAGCAGTTCCTGTGAGCGTGCAGTTCCTCGGTTGCTGCCCGCTGCGGTGACTCCCAGCCAACAAGGAGGCCATTGCACTACGGTTTGCGGTAAATTGACCGGCGAGATTCAAGCCTTCAGCAGAGCAGCGACCCCGACCAGTCACTCCTTACAGCGTCGGAAGTCAAGTACACTTCTAGGCATTCTAGGCAGCCTTTCAGAATCATACGGAGACGTCGCGGGACAAGCACTCAAGTCAACGGCGGAGGAAGTAAGTCTCACGAAGCGCTGGGAATGTGGCCGTGCTTGCGGCCGAGGTCGTGCACCTCGCGGGGACACGTGAACCAGCGTTCATCCTGCTCGGCTGAATTGTAAAGGGCTGAGACATCGACAAAGGAAAGGGCTCGCCGGTGCTGTTTAGCAGTCCACGCTGGCTCCACATACTGGTAGAAAAGCATAATGGATGTCGGTGGCTTCCCTTTCTCATCCGTCACTCTGGCCAGGCCAGCTGGGACTGGCGGAAGCTTCTTTCCTGCAATCGACCTTGCCATCTTCGGCAGCATTCCTCTCATGCTCTCTTCCAGACTGACGTCCCATCCTGCAACCATGGCTCGAAAGCGGAGGCAGGCTCTAGCCCTGACAGGGTAAGACTGAGGGCCAGCGCGTGGGATCGTAGCTAGGTCTGCGGATGGCTCATACTAGCTTCTATGGCAACTCTAGCAGAAGGGAAAAAGAAACGGCCATGCAAAGACGGACGGGCACTGTCCTCACCAAGACTCGGACAGAAGCTCGGTTTTGCTTAAGCCATGTGCAGACCTGAATCCTTTTGCTCCTGCCTGGCGGTTGCAGGGTATGTAGAAAATTGAAGCTGTGCGGCTGGGACAACGGTCTGAAACCAAGCATGAAATCTTGGTCTGCCGGGCCAATACTCAATGCAAGGGTCAGCAGAGACGAACTTCACATCTACTTGGATGGGGAATGTTCAGATGGGGCCCGGCACGCAAGCACCTGTCAGCTCATCCTTTCTTGAGCGTTACGTGGTTAGTTTTCTTTCCTTTCTCCTTGCTCAAGAAAGGAGACCTATCAACTGTGCACTGTATCACCATATGTTGCGTGACTCAACGGGTCAACATTCTGGACGCAGGCAGTCCACTAAGCCAAAGAAACAGAGACGGCCGGAATCTCATCAACTCATAATGCTTTCCTCTGAGCTCCATCTCAATTTCCATCGTATTTCTGTGATAACAACAGTAAGAATGGTAGTAGCAGTCGTAATTATAATACTAATGATCATAAAACTAATGCTAACAATGATGCTAACAATTCAAATAATAAGAATAGTAATTATAGCAACAAGAACAAAAATAACAATAACAATAACAATAATTCGAACAGTAATACGAATACCATCATCATCATCATCATCATCATCATCATAACCGCAACAACCATAATCGCAATTGCAATCATAGTAATTGCTGTCGTTACCGCATGACAGTCATAGCATTCTTATGACAATGAGAGAGAAACATCGGAGTAATAACCATAGTGCTAAGACAAAGCAGCTAGCAGCCGTCTGTGGAAGGCCAGGCGACTCCACACTTACTACAAGCTCTCCAAGAGAAAAAACACTTCCATGGATGGCGCGCGCGCCCGGGCATCTCCGTGTCTCTGAGGATTTAGGAGTTTAGGGTTTCGGTGCTCGCTTAGGGTTTGGGCAAAGGAGTTGAAGGTTCTTAGGGTTGAGGGGGTTTCGACGCGCAAGGCAGGCATGGCTTCGATCCATCTGAGCTGAGGGGCTTAAGGTTTAGAGTTGAACTCGGACAAGGAGATCTCGTGCACAGGGCTTCGGGTTTTGGGGCTTCGGAGGAATGCTGCGGCTATTGCCTTTCTCAGCTGTGAAACTTCTGGAGCAGCATCCGGGTACGCGCTGGCAGGTCGCTCTTTTGGAGAACTGAAAACTTGTCGCCGGGTTCAGATTGTAACGAGTCGGCTTGGCCGTCGAGAATTTGGAAAGAGCATCAAAACTCCATACTACGTGCTGCAGCTTGCAGGACCATCAAGAGTCTAAATTTTACATCATGCCACATGTCCGACTGACGTGGCGAGGACATGAGTCAAGTTGGATCTTGCGGCTGCCATATGGAGCAGCGCGAAGAAGCAACGGACACATCAGGATTTGTCTGGGACGCCTTCTTTTGCCTGGCAAAGTTCTCCCCCCCCAGCCACAGCACAGCACATCACAGTACATCACAGTAGCTTCATCGCAGCGCTAAGCACTGTCAATGACACCTGCCGTTTTCGTCCTGACTTACCCTTGTCCAGTCGCTTGACCTGCAATAGGACAGCAGGTGTGGCAATAAGTCGAAAAGATGTGCTTTATGATGTGCATCGCGTACCTGTAGGGAGAGCAAATCCGCGAAATCCTGCCATGCAGCTTCGTAGTCCTCTGGGTTTACGTCGCCTGGTCAAGAGCGGAGGCAAACAGACGGTCACAGCAGCATTCCCAGTCCTACGGGCTGCCACACTCTCAAACAACAGCTGCTGAAGGCAACTGAGCGGAATTGCTCCGTGCTCTGTGCCAGGCTGCGGAGAAGAAGCGTATAAGCTCGCTCAGCCATGTTTTCCTGACTCGGACTCACTCATGCAGAAACCTCGGCTCGCTTTCTATGGATACCGCATGCATCTGTATGCAGAAATATCATCCTTCGGGTTGTCACTCATCTCGGCCAGGAGGAGGACCTTCTCCTCCCTTGTTAGCACGCCCTCGATTTCGAGCTTCCTGGCACACGACAGGCTTCACAAAATTCCAGGGCATGTAAAGGCATGGACACGGCACTCGACTTGGTGCCCGGTCCTCAGGCCACCAATGGCCTCTCGAGCATCGTACACTTCGTCTTCGTCAGGATCAACATAGAGCTCGTTTTCCAAGTCAGAGTCCGAATCCGAGCCTTCATCCAGATCGTCATCCTGCTCAACTGGTACCGGGGTCATGTTGCCACCGATGCCGAAGGGACCGTCGTCCTCGCCCTCATGCTCCGGCGTGAAGAAAGGTGCCCGGATGACGATCGAATTGCCACCCAGGCCCAGGTTCTGCGCGGCGCGCATCACCTTTTGAAACTGCTGAAAGCTCTCCTCGTCTGCTTCCAGGCCGGAACTCTCTCCTGACGAGCAGAGGACAACTGTCGACTTTTGCAATTCGCAGCCAGTTGTGAACACATGAGCCTTGGGCTACCCCTCTCTGCCCCACGAGAGTCCGTGCGTGGCCCTTCCAGTTTTGACTTGAACCGTCGAAATCGCAGTGACCCCTTCACCTGCCTGGCGGTTTGCTCGCATGCCTGTGCAGCATCTTCCAGCGGTCATCAGCACTCTTCCGGAAGATGTGGCTGACACGCAGGGTGATCCTGGCAGGACTTTGCCGATGAAAGCACTGTCGGTTCAAAGTGCTCTGGCCCATGCTCCTGTAGTTCTTGCCCACGAGCCGTTCCAGGCAGGTCACGATCGCAGTACCACCCCGCACGTTGACCTCAGAAAAGCCCGGCCCGGCCAGGCCCAGGCTGTGGCGGAGCTCTCTGCCCCCGGATCCCCCGGCATCCCCCGGCCTTCACTTTGTCGAAGGACACCTGGGTCTGCATCTTGGACTCCTTGAAAACCCTCTCGAAGGAAGAGCCTGGCTGCACAAGATGCCAATGTGATTTCAGGACTTCATGCCTCTCTTGCGCATCCATACCGGCTGCATCTGCGGTGCATCGCTGTTGCACAACTATGCTTTCTGCGTAGACAATGGTCGTGCAGCAGCAGACCAAGAATCACCTCCTGTATGTTTGCAGTCGGGATGCAAATGTCAGTGTAGCCTGTGTGTTGATGGCCATCCTCATCCTCAGACCCGTCGCTTAAGCTCAAAACGGCAAAGTTAATCAAAGGATGAGGCGGAAATGCACATCGTTCTGACACTTTGTTAATGCCATGCCACGTAAGGGTGGATGCATTGTGCAAACGGCACATTGTACCAGCACTTCTTCATAGCGGGAAGATTTCGCTTGTTGAACGCTTCCTTGGCTGACACTGAACTGAGCACGTCAGGGCAAACATGTCTTGGCATCATCATGTTCTCGTCAAATGCTTCCATGGCTCATAGAACTTGACATTTGCTGTCAGTACGCTCCCCTCGTCATCTAGCTGAGCCGAAAGCAACTGCTTGTTGTGCTTTGCAGCCTCCTCGAACTTTCCAGCCTCTGCTGAGCTAAGCATCTTTCTCTCCAATTCCTTGGCAGGGCACCGTGGCATGGGCTTCGAAATGTCGCTTGTCGAAGACTGTCCAGAGCGCTTTACCGGAGGCCGGAAACCCCAGAAGCAAATGCTCCTGGCTCTTGATCTTTACGGATGATTTGATCTGCTATCCTTTCAGCGTAGATTGCGGCAGCTTGGTGGGGAGGGCTGTTTCCAGTCGAGTGATTCAGCATCAAGGTGAGGCATTCGGCTGCCGAAGGTCTTCGACTGCTCCCTCGCTCATCTTCTCCTCGTTCACCTCGTGGGTCAAGCGTGCTTTCATTCTGAGTTTGTATTAGGCTTGCAAACCCGAGCCGCGAGGCAGGAGCGACGTCTCCCACAAAATCAACCGCATCATAAGCAAGTCATCGATCGACACGACACCCTCGAGCCGTAGACGAAACTCCGTTGAAGGCGCCTTTTGGAGCAATGTCGCCCGGAGCCGTCAAGATGTCTTAGTTAGAATTCTCCGACAGATTGCATCGGTTGCCTCTGTGGTCTGGAGTGAGGACACGCAAACCAGGGTGTCTTCGAATCTGACAGCCAGCTTGAACCTGCGTACCTCCTGCACTGCCGGGCTCCCGACCCCTCTTTGGATTACATGTCTGGTCTGACCGTGCTTCACAACACGGACGCTCCCACTTCGGAGTCCTCGATCGTTACCAAAGCAAGTGCTTCTACAGTACGGTTTTCACGACGGTACTGCCGAATCCCAATGCCACATTCTGATTAATTCCCGCAACAGCTGCAGCTTGATTCGAAGGCATCCAGCATGCGCCCTGGCATGCCTTAAGCTTTAGCAGGCAAACACATTCAAGCACAAGAGCGTGCTCTGTGGCAAAGTCCACCAGACAGAGTCCCTTCATGTGTCCTGCAAAAGTTGAAAGGGAAGCACTCCGGAGGGGCAGCAAGAAAGAAGAGCTGTCATGGATCAAGCGAAGCAGAAGCCGTCCTGCATCTTAAATCCTTACAGCGACTGCACAAGAGCTTGAGGAACGGTATGGCCCGTTCCTCCCATCAGTCTCTCCGGAACGCAAAATTCGCCGGCATGTGTAGCCGCTGGAAAAGACTCCCAGCAGAGCTGGCCAACGGCTTCTAAAGCTTAGCAACAAATTCATTACGCTATATCTGGTCAGAGTGTAAGGCTGGTAAGGCTTATGCCCCGAAGAGTCTAGGTGCAGTCAGCCAGCAATGCCGCTCAGCTCAGTGGTGAACACTCAGCCCCTAGGTCCTAGGCGATCTCCATCGGTGCATCAACATACATGAGGTAGTCTTCGGCTGCATCAGCCTGGCGCTGACGGCGAAGTCGGGCGGCGAAGGCGACGGCGGCGAGCATGCCAATCGCAAGGGCACCGGTTGCGACCAGCGGCCGAGAATTGGCCGGAATCGCTGCAAGCTCCGCCGGAGGGGTGGCCTTGGCCGTGGCCTTCTCCGCCTGCTCTTCTTTAGCTTCGGAGGCCAACTCCTCTTTCAAGTGCTCCTGCTCCCGGGCAAGCTCCTTCCGCAGCCGCTCCCGCTCCGAGGCCAGCTCTTCATGAAGCTGCTGCTTCTCCTCCTCGCGCAGCTTGCTCTCCTTCGCTTCCTCTGTGTTCTGCTGGTCAGGAGCGACGAAAAGCTCGCCGTTTGCGGCCTTGGCTGCCTTCTGGGCGGCAGCAGCTGCCGCCTTGGCTTCGGCGGCAAGCTCATCTCGCAGGTGCTCCTTCTCGGACGCAAGCTCAGCACGAAGGCTCGCCTTTTCGGACTGCAGCTCTTCGCGCAGGTGCTCCTTCTCCCTCTGCCTCTCGCGCTCCTCACGCTGACCTTCGGAGAGCGGCTGTCGCCCGGAAGCAGACCGGGATGGCTTTGAAGTGGCATTGGGGCCAGATGCCAAGAGCAAAGCCGGGCCAGATGGGCCCTGATGATCTTGACCCTGAGTGTACTTGGAGTAGTCCATATACTTCTGGAAGCCCTCTCCGGCAGAGCCATGCCCCTGCATGTACTTGCCTTTCTGCCATGATCAGCCCCCGAGGAGACTTCAACATTCAAAAAGGACAAAGATAGAAGGAACAAAAATAAATAGAGTTGATAATTGGAGGAGCTGCTGTAGTCTCCACCGTAGGACTGCATGTACTGCTTGTAGTCACCACCCTGCAATCATGCGGGGCCGCGCTGACGACTTAGCGCGCTTGCAGTGGTCCATTACAAATCTACGCGGCGGGGCCAGGTTTATGCAAGCCTTAGCCTTTGCATCCTCCGTAAAGGCTGAGGTTTCGATCAAGTGAGATTTTGAGGACATGTCCAGTCGTCCGTAATCGGGCAGACTCCAGTCCGAGCGACAACATTGGCTTAAATCCTAACGTCATGAGCAGGGTATAGCAGAGTCATGCGAGCAGCTAGCCCCGACTCGGTTCTAGTCAGTGTGCAAGCCACAAACCTGCTGATGACCACATCTCAAACCCTGAGCTCTCTTTGCCTCAAATCCGGGAGCGTAAAACCAGCTGGGGCGAAAATGAAGATTTATCCAAAACTTTAGGAACTCTTCATGTCCATACAGCTTGGTTGGAACTACCTTGCCTGCGAGCCATGCCCTTGCGTGAACTTGCTATAGTCGCCGCCGTAGGACTGCATATACTGCTTGAAATCTCCGCCCTGCGAGCCGTGCCCCTGAGTATATTTGGAGTAGTCCATGTACTGCTTGTAGTCACCACCCTGCAAGCAAGCTTGGGACATCGCATTTTTGAGATTGATTCTATGTCCTCTGTAGAGCACGCTATCTCAGAACGACTTACATCATTGAGTCTCGACATGTGCCATCGCCTGGCGACTGCGCATTCCTAAGCACTAGCGGCAACCTTACACCTATCCCCGACCTGACCTCTGCGACGCTGTCCACTCACGGCTCCCGACAACAAAATCACACACCCTGAGCCCTGGACTTGTGAGACACCCCAACCTGTCTTAAGACTTCATTTGGAAAGGGGCTGGAGGCAAAGCAGCTGAGGCGAAGGGCTACTCGTGTCGACTTTTGTCGCAACAGGCAGGCAAGGATAACAAGGACAAGGATAACTCCTAAAGCACATGCCGGACACTCAGCTTTGCAACCAAGGGTAAGAGTGTCCAGTGTTGTTGGTAGTTTTGCTGTTGCTGCGCGGGGGTGTTGTTTTTTTGCTGTTGCTGCAGGGACGTTGTTGTTTTGCTGTGCTGCGGTTGGAGGTGTTTTTTTGTGTTGTTGTTGCGGGGCGTGCTTTTGTTTTGCTGTTGCTGCTTTTTTGTTGGTGCTCTTTGTTTTTGCTGTTGGTCCCAGGGGTGAGTGTATTTGCGATGCGTTGTGCTGCGGGGGTGCCTTTTTCATTTTTTGTTGTTGGTGCAAGGGGTGTTTTTTTTTGCTGTGCTGGGGGGGGGGGGTCTTTATGGAGCCCAACACAGCGACAGCCGAGCTTGCGGTATGTTCCGCTTGCGCACTCATGGTGGCGAAGGGCTACTCGTGACTCTTTCAGCAGATTGCGAGCAGCGGTTAGGGTGATTAGGCGTCAGAGAACACATCCATAGTCCACGACACATGCAACCGATGTGCCGCCCCGTACTCTGCCCCCTCAGCTTTGCAACCAAGGCTCCCGACACATAACCGTCTAAACCCGAAACAACCCAGTCGCGAGCTGTCTCTCAAGCCTGAAGGACGGTTCCGAAAACAAGTTGACCATCAGGCAATGTCCGACCCACTCGCCGGATCATGTCAGAACTAATCAGCAATAGCCAACAACTCAACACCGGATCTAGTGCTTCGAAACAATGAGAAAGTAAGGCCATACCCAAGATTGAAACCACCTCGCCTGCGAGCCCTGCCCCTGCGTGTACTTGCTGCTGTAGTCGCCACCATAGGACTGCATATACTGCTTGAAATCTCCGCCCTGCGAGCCGTGCCCCTGAGTATACTTGGAATAGTCCAGGTACTTCTTGTAGTCACCACCCTGCAAGCAAGCTTGCGACAAGGGCCGTAACACAACAGTCGTGCTGTCGAGGAACGGGTGGATGGACATTCCGGCAATGCAATACACTTACACTTGGGTTACCGCTGACGCCTCACAGCGCCTTAGTCAGATTTTGAGCCTAGAACTACGACATGTACGGTCGTCCGTGAGCCCGAGCGACAATATCGGCTTAAATCCTAACGTCATGAGCAGGGTATAGCAGAGTCATGCGAGAAGCTAGCCCCGACTCGGTTCTAGTCAGTGTGCAAGCCACAAACCTTCTGATGACCACATCTCAAACCCTGAGCTCTCTTTGCCTCAAATCCGGGAGTGTAAAACCAGCTGGGGCGAAAATGAAGATTTATCCAAAACTTTAGGAACTCTTCATGTCCATACAGCTTGGTTGGAACTACCTTGCCTGCGAGCCATGCCCTTGCGTGAGCTTGCTATAGTCGCCGCCGTAGGACTGCATATACTGCTTGAAATC